AAGAAGAGTGAGTAATTGAGTTTAGGGGAATTCAAGTGGACTTCAGAGAGGAGGCAATTTTTCCTGGGCATGAACATTCACAAGCACAAATTAGGTATAGGCTGACCTAGGCTTTAGATGGTGTGAAGTGACCTCAGTGTGGCAGTGTGAAGCTATTAAGCTAAGTGGTGCTATTCATTTCACCATTTTCATACATATAGACATCGCTGGAAAAAGTGGTCTAGTCTCTTCACATTCATGATTTCCAAACTTAATTAATTTTTATTTTATATTTTTAGAACTTAAAAAAAATATATTTATTTATTTGTCAGAGAGAGAGAGAGAGCGCACAAGCAGGGGGAGCTGCAGGCAGAGGGAGAAGCAGGCTCCCCGCTGAGCAAGGAGCCCAATGCAGTACTCGATCCCAGGATTCTGGGACCTGAGCCGAAGGCAGACACTTAACCGACTGAGCCACCCAGGCATCCCTCAATTAAATTATTAATAGCACTTGGTAAAGTTGTAACTCCTCTGGACAGTTAGTTCTCCCATTACCTTAAGTGGTTTTTCCAAAGCTATTTTCAAACACTATCTAATTGAACTGCCTGTACTCTCATAAAGCTTCCCTTTTTTCCACTTCCTCTATAAAAGAGGCCACTGTGCCTCTGATGGCATTTCATTCCCTCCTAGTCTCTTCTCTTGGAAGAAGTCTCTTCAAACTCAGCTTCCTCTCACCCCCTCTATTCTTTTTTTTTAGATTTTATTTATTTACTTGACAGAGAGAGACACAGCGAGAGAGGAAACACAAGCAGGGGGAGTGGGAGAGGGAGAAGCAGGCTCCCCGCAGAGCAGGGAGCCCGATGCGGGACTCGATCCCAGGACCCTGGGATCATGACCTGAGCTGAAGGCAGTCGCTTAACCAACTGAGCCACCCAGGCACCCTCACCCCCTCTATTCTTAACTGAGGTCCTCAGCTACCTCCAGTACCTGCTCCATCCAGGACTTTCCTGTTCCATCTTTCAATTTCAGATCTTTTTCCTTAGCCTGAAAATTCATTCACACACCTCTCATCCTAAAGAAATCCTTATCTTGGTCCTTGTTCCTCTAGTTCCCTCCCTATCTCTTTCCATTCTCATCCATTTCTTTGAAAGTGTTCTCTAAATGAAAGCTTCTCAAACATTAAGGTCTGTAAATTACTTGAAGATCTCATTAAAATGAAGATTCTAATTCAGTAGTCTGGGATGCGGCCTGAGATCCAGGACCTCTAACCAGTCCCCAGCCTATCATGTTCTGGAGGTCATTCTAAATAGCAAAGGTCTAAACCCTAATTCTCCTCATATCCTTGCCTTCCATTATCCAGAACCCTCTTACCAGCTAGCTTCTAACCCCTCTAAGGCCCCCCCATAAAAAATCACCAATTCACCCTGGAATGTTAAACCCAATGGACACATTGCAATCACAGTACCTCCTACCCTCTGTGGGGAGTTAGGCATCCCTGATTATTAATGCAATCTACTATGATGTCATTTCCTCTTGGTTTTTCCTTTTGTCTGACCAGTCACAATTTCTCATCTTCTTTTTGAATTCTCCTTGTTTACCTGCTTTTTAAAATGTTTATGTTCCAGCTAGTTTCTATCTTATTATATTCTCTCTTGCAATAATCTCATCTAGTAATTTTTCATTTCTGTTTGGATACTCTAGAGTCCCTTTAGTCCTGTTTGAGCTCGGACTCATATATCCAACTGCCAAACTTGAATCACTAGCGTCTCAAATTCAACATGTAGAAGCTAACTCATTAACTACTCTTCAAAGCCCATGCTTCCTATTTTGGACATCTGTGTCCCTTTCTATTGAATCAATCATGACAAAAACCTGAAATAATCTTCACCTCTTGCCCACCTTCCATCCAGTCATTAAAGTCTTATTTTTTTTCCCCTTAGGATCTCTCGAAATTCAGCCTCTCCAGTCCATTCCTACTGTCACTGCTGTACAGCTCAGATCCTCATCCTAACAGGCTTATAGAATAGCATCTTCACTGATCCGAACTTCTCCAGTCTTACTCCCTTCCAACTCTTCTACTAATTACAACTGGTATAGTCTTCCTAAAGTCTGTAAAACCCTTCAGCTGTCTCCCTTTAACAAGAAAATAAAGCCTAAGCTTAAGAACAGGACTTAAAGTCCTTTGTTATCTAGCCCTATCTCCAGCCTCATCTCCTGCTACCCTTCCCTCAAAGAAACTTTATGGTCCATTCATACTGAACCATTTGGAGTTCCCCATAACTCCATGCTTTCTGACATCTTTATGCCTTTGTGTTTCCTTTGTCTCTCTGTAGATTCCCAATAAACTTTAAAAATAAAGCACAGATGCCATCTTTTGTGAAATGGATTATGTAAATTGAGAGAGGCCTACGTGTTTCCTTTAGTTTAAAAAAACGTATAACTAAAACTTATTGAGTGCCCATTTTTGTCTTTACACATTATTATGCACAGCTACACACAGCACAACCTTTAGCCGACTTAATCACTCTTGTCTCAGTATTCTTTTTGTAGCTTAATTCTATTAATTAAAATTTTTCTGCCTAATGCTTCATCTGGATGGTAGTAATTGCTCAATATGTTTGTTAAATGTAATTCCCATTCTGCCATTAAAGTTATAAAATAATTTCCCAAAGGAAGAGTTTATGTAACTATAATCCAGCATTTCATTATGACTATTATGGTTGTACCTTTCTCCTAATGGCAATAGTTAAGTTCATTTAGAACCTTAATGATTTTCTTCTCTAATCTTTTACATCACTGTTTTGATGTTTACACATTGTATTAAAGTGCACACAAATGAATATTCCCTGCTTACAATATTTTCTTTTAAATCCATTTCTAACTTACAATGTTTTAGTACTCCTCCTCCCTTTTCTTTTAATTGATTCTGGTTCCTTACAGCATATCTAGGAAGCAGATGTATATTTATTTAAAGAATTAATTTGCATAAGAGGAACTTAGGTAGGGTAGTTACAGTTCTGTGGCAGAACTAGCTGACAGTGGTACCTTCCAGGTTCCTACCATCACAACATGCACATCGACTCCTCATTAAGGCCGAGATAGAGTGAATGGATGGGCAGGAGGCAGATCAATCTTAATAGTGGATGAAGTAGGAGGTTGCCATTAAATGATATCAGGAGTCATTCTCCTCTCCACAAAAACAAGATAAAATAAAATATCCTATCACATTTCTCATCAAAATGAGAGTTAACACATCAGAGTTTGAGATTATTTTTCCTGGGGTAAAATGCAAAGCCCTGGGAGCTATTAAGCCTTAACCATTATCTGCCATTTGGGATGAGGCTACTGGTTTCTTTCTTGAAAGAATGCAAGAGATGTAATGACTTGTTTAATGTCAGTATTTCTAGGAATCCTTTTATTATGTTCACTTGTATTTTTATGTTTAATTTTAATTTTAACCTCAATGGCTGATATAAGGTAAGTAATTAATAAAGTAATGATCAGAAGAATTCATGAGAAAATACTGACCTTGAGTTAGAAGAGACTACCCTTATTAAAAGAGCAAAATCAACTAGAAAAAAAGACTTCAGTTGAACCTTAAATCCCAAAGCTCAAATACATATATCTAAATTCAAAATTATCTTATGTTAAAATAATAACAATAATAAATGTGTAATAAAAATGAGTAATTACTATTCAATACATTTCATATATATACATAATTATAAAGTTAAAAGAAGCATATAGACCTCCCTCAATCTACACAGCATATATGCTCCTGCAAAGTTGGTAATGAAGTAAATTTCTGAGCTGAATACAATTATAAATTATAAATTTAGGCATCTTTTTTTTTTCTTTTTCTGGACAAAAATGAGCTAAGTTTAGTCTGAAAATAAATGGCTTAAGATAGTGGTCAAATCTATGGATGTTGAATTTTGTATAGATAGAAGGGATTTCCTAATCTTGCTGAGCAATTCAATTCCACTCAACAAATGACAAGGGTCTACTAGGTACTGTGGGTATTAACAAAATGACCAAGAGATAGCTTCTTATAAAACAGTAGAGAATAAGGGCGCCTGGGTGGCTCAGTTGGTTAAGCGACTGCCTTCGGCTCAGGTCATGATCCTGGAGTCCCGGGATCGAGTCCCGCATCGGGCTCCCTGCTCGGCGGGGAGTCTGCTTCTCCTTCTGACCCTCCCCCTTCTCATGTGCTCTCTCTCTCTCTCATTCTCTCTCTCAAATAAATAAATAAAATCTTAAAAAAAAAAAAAAGCTTGTGTGATTATGGGTGAATGGAAGCAGGCAACAGGAGAAAGGATATCTTTTTTAATCATGTAGGTGGAAGTTAATAAATTGTCAAATCAATGTGGTGGTATTGGGCATGGAATCAAGGGGAAAAGTAAGAAAGTTCCTTAATAGGAACTGAACTGATAAAACCATTGATAGGATAACAGGCTTGATGGGCTGGTAGCATCTCCTTTAAGCTCCTTCCCTTTTATACCAATCTCAAATATTCAACACATCCAATAAGAATTCCAATTCAGAGTGCACAGAAATTACTGTCAATTGTCATATGATATATGGCATTTAGTATCTAGCGGGACATATAATGATACAGTAGAGATGTGGGACCAAGATCCAGTGCTTTGATCTACCATTTTAACGGAGCTAAGCTTTCTTATCACATCCCAGACTGGAAGTTTTTCAAAGATTGAGGCTTTAGTTCATTTAGTAGTTTTTTTTCCCCCTGATGATTCCATACTTCTATAGATATCTAATTTAAAATTTGTAAAACATTTATTTAAAATGAGATGAGGTTGCACAACTACATTATTTTCAATTTTATTTAAATCAAATAAAGCTGTGACTGATGTGAAGAACTGGCATAGAAACCACATGAATTTTGAGATAAAAATTTAAAGATGAAATCCTAATACCTAATTATCTTATCCTGAAATAATTAAATGTAAAAGATATACATTTTAAACAGTCACACACATGTAGGCATTACACAATGCACATAATGAAGTCATAAAACATTTTATACTGCTTTATTATAAATAATTGGAAACAATATTTCATTTTTCAAACCCAGATAACAAAATAGTAAATATCATGCTTTCATTTTTTTTTCATTATTTCATTTTATTTTTGTAATATGAGTTGGGAAGTACTATTTCTTATCAAAAGACTGGTAACAAAAATCTGTAGGAACACAAAAGAACAAAACACTCACTTTCATTCACTTAAAGGAAAACAATCGAGAAGGCTTTTAGAGGGAGGGGCTAAACAGTGCTATGAAGGAGTCACCAAGAACAGAAAGACTGTGTAATATCAGCAAATATCACTTGTAAGGCAAAATGGGGTTGTATACAAATCCATAAACATAAAGATGTGGTGGTAAATTTTAACAACATTTTCTTAAAAATGGAATAGCTGTATTCTCTCAAATGGAGGCAATCTGTATTGTTGCTTTGAAAAAAACTTATTTTTCTAAGAAAGGATATCTAATATATATTTCAGTTTTCATGTAGTAACTCACATTTTGATAAAAACGCTTCACTACTGTAACCTTGCACACTTAAAAGGCAGAAAGCCCTTTTTGACAAAATACTGTAGCAACTTCAAATTGCCACAAAAACCTGTGCCCCCAAATTCACTTAAAATAGATTATCCCATAGGAATATTTTCACTAAGAGAGTTATAGTAGCTAGCAGTCAGAACTTTTTAGGTGACTATGATTGATTTTCTTTTTGTGTATTTTCTTTATGTTTAATACAGAGTTTTGGCAGTTTCCTCCACTAAATAATTTTTTAAAAATCAGACATTGCCTACGAAAACAGAGCTTGAGAGAGACAAATGTGAAGAAATAATGTATTTCATAAAATAGTGTAGTAGATTTCTCTGAAAACTTGTGTTTATTTGCATCAATTAAGGACAATGTTGCATATTCCAGATTAAACAGCTATTAGGTTTGCCATGGAAATAAACATGCTATGTACAATGATATTTATAATTCTTCTTTTATTTTTATAGACTTCAAAGTGTATCTCTCATAGAAACTGGAACAGGGTGAATCTGGAAAGCATGTTTCAGTTAATTAGCAAAAATTAAATTAGCATGAAATAACAGAATGAAGAATTGAAATCATTATTTTGAAAGTAATGAGGTTACGCTTAAGGGTACAGTACGCAGGAAGATATTGTAAAATGAACCGTTCCAGCTTCCTTGGTTTTACTCCAACTTAATATACTTGAAAATACTGTTCTCATGTATAATATCAAAGGAAATATTAAATGCATGTATGTTATTTTAAGAGCTTGATGGTATATTTCACATTCTTTAAACTTTACTCATGCTATAAATATCTATCAGTCAGTTTTTAAAGTAAATGAAAACTGTCGCATGGGGGGATAATTTTTTATCTAATATGTCCATACTCGATTATGTCCATCTTTTTCCTGAAAACTATATCAAAAATCAGAGTAAGTGGAGCATGTTTCTACCTCATACTATTATTCTTCATGTACTACAATTCATTATGGTTTACCAAAATGGAATTTACATTTGAAGATGGGTTAACTGAAATCAATTAGTAAGTATGATTAAAGAGTTAGGCTTCTGGAATCCATTAACGCTTAACCAACTTAGAGGGCAATGCTTATTCTTCCTAAACTTTTATTAAAATTGTGCAACAGTATAAACTGGTTTTTAGTAGGTTTGCATAGAAATAACACCATTTCACTGGTGTGATACATCTTTTCCAAAGGATTATGGCAGGCCTGTTTGTATTCTTCATGTATATTCTTCTTTTTTTGTTGTTCATTTCCTCCTCCTCCTCCTTCTTCTCAGTTTTCACATGAAATAAACCGTATTTGTCATCTGGCGACCATAGTTCTAAAGTAAGATCCAGTAGCAGTTGGAAGCACAGTGAACCGAACAGTTTCTTCCCTTTTTAAAACATGATAGTGAGTGGCATTCTCCATAGTCAAGCCATATGAACACAGGAGACTCTTGTGAACTCAGAAGGTTCCAAATCCATTGTCAAGGACCTTGGTGACTTCACATAACTGCCACTTGTAGCTGGAAGGGAGACACTATCGTTTGCTTCAGAAGTGTTCCAGCAGTTTCTTGTCTGGTAGCTTCTTCAGATTTCTCTGTTGCTTTTATTACTGCTTCTGACATTATGCCTTCAAAAGTCCAAAGGTCGAATCATCATCGTTGTGGAACGTAAGGAGTAACTGGGCCCTTTGAAGTAGTGCCACTTTATCCCGTTCAGTTTTCCGTGGTTTTGTCCAGCAGTGTAGAACATTCCATTTAGATTGGAGGGGCCACAAGCATCAAACCACCAGCCTGAAAAATGAGTTAATAATGAAAGAGAAAAGGAGAAGAAACAATTAAAAGTAAATTGAACATGTGGAAACTAATGGCACTAACCATGGTGGACTTTATACTTTCTACGATCATTTGCAAATAGGAGGCATTCAATAAAAAGCTTCTTGGTGGTGGAAATGTCTTAAATGACATCCGATTTAGGCAATGTATGAACAGAGAGGAATGCTCCCATGGAAATCAAGTTTCAGTGTCACTCCATTGGGACTCATTTCCCACTGTAATGATGGAAAGCTTCTGGGATTCAAGATAAGATCAATTCAAACCTAGATTTATATGTAGGGCAAGTAAAATGCAGATACCCTTGGGCATTCCACCTTAAGCCCGTTGTTAGGAATAGAACAATTATTAGTGAAGAAGTTCAGAAGCTTAGAAAACTGACATCTAAATACAGTGAAAGAAATGTTTTCCATCTACTTCATAATTTTGCCAAGAACTGGTCCACAATTGCTTCTGAAATTAACTGGATACTGGGCAATGACTATGATGCACAAATTGAATTTGAATTACTGTGCTCTCCCTATATTTTATAGCAATATGGGAAGTGTTCATCAATAGTAGCCATATAGGTTCCTATATAGCAGAATTTTTTTCCTGTGACTGTTCAAGTTCTTTCAAAGCCTAGTAAAAAGAAAAACAACTTGATGAGTAACATGGAGACCCTATGCTTGCATAACTCTCTGTAAGGATAACTTAGTACTTTATTTTTTTAATGAATTAAGTTTCTTAGATTTTTAGATAAAACATACTACTTTTTCTCTGTCTCCTGAAGTAACACTACTGAAATCTTTAGGGAGAGATTTATGCCAGAGACATTCTGGCATATTTTTATTTGGATACAGTTGACCTCTTTTTGATTACAGAGTTATACCTAAGGGACTAATAGCTAAAGAAAGAGAAAGCTATACAACTGATGTTTAACTGTAACATGAGCATCATCTTGCAGAAACTAGAAAAAGTTAAATGGAGAAAAGCTAGTTCTCACTTTTCAATTTTGGAAGGTGAATACAGTAAGGTTATGTTTATAAAAGTCATACTAGAAGCACAGCAAGCTGTATTAATTACCAACTTATATTGGAAAACAATAAGGTATGTCTTGATGAATTTGGAGACTGTCTTCAATGCTGTTTTACGAACTGTATGCAAACAACATAGATGTTAATGCAGTCAAAACATGCCCTCAAAAAGGTTCTTGTTTGGCAAGGAAAGATGAACCATAAATTCTACATTTTTAAAAAGATTTTATTTATTTATTTGGGAGTGAGTGAGTGAGAGAGAGAGACAGAGAGAGAGAGCACAAGCCCACAAGCCGGGGGAGAGGCAGAGGGAGAGGGAGAAGCAGACTCCCTGCTGAGCCCAATGTGGGGCTCCATCTCAGGACCCTGGGATCATGACCTGAGCTGAAGGCAGAAGCTTAACCAATTGAACCAACCAGGCATCCCTCCACAATTTTTTCTTAAGATTAATTCCTTTAAATTCTTTTTGATAAGTATAACTAGTAAAAATGTTATTTATATTACAAAAAGCATTCTGACACTAGGGAATTTATTCACCCTAATGAGCCTTTCATAGTCTTTCAAATATCCACCATGATCTCTGAAGGAAATGCAGCTACTTTATTATTAGGAACTACTACAAATTGTAGAATGATCCTCCCAGTTACATTAGGCGTTCAAGGTAAAAGTGTGTGTTTTTGTTTGGTTTAGAGAAAGTCACAAGAGTTCTGGAAGACTGTGGGAAGGCAGAGGTCTGCTGCCAAAAGCAGCCTGGCAATAAAGGGAAATTTTCGATGAGATTAGCAAAGAGACAAGAAACAGTAGGGGCACGTGAGAGAATCCGATAAATTGATCTTGTGTATGTTTTCTAATGAGTAAAGTGGGGTAATATTTGTGGTATGGGGAAAGGCATTTTGGAGAAAGAAGACCATATGGCTGGTTCAGAGTTAACAAGAGAAATAGGAGCCTTAAGCTGAGAAAGTCTGAAGATTAAATCACATAGTCTTTTGTTCATAATCCTAAGAACAATGGTATGGCATGGTCTATCTCCAGGCCCATCTCCTGTACTTAGTGCTGTACCTAACAGAGTTTGCTTAACAAATGACTGGGGAGTGACTACAGGCTTATTGACAGATTGACTTCTTTTGACTGTTTCTCTGTGTAAAGTCTCAGTGGTCTAAAGTAGTTTAGTTTACTAAAAAATTCTATTTGATAGACACCCCAATATATAACATCCATGCTTATTGTGTTCATTCTTTCTTTCTTTATCCATTCAATATGTAATTATTGTGACTATTGTTACATAATACTCAATAAGACAGACCGGGGCCCTCCCTTCATGGAACTTACTTCCAATGTGAGAGGCAGACATAAAGTAAGCAATAAGTAAAATACTTACAAATCATGATTAAAAAAAAGAAAGAGAAGAATCAAGGAGCTAGGAAGGAGGATAACAGGGGACCTACCTGACTTTTCACATTCACAGAAGAAGCTGATATTCAATGAGTGCTGAAGGATGAGAGGGAGGCAGCTGTGTGAAGATGGGGAAAGACTCGTTTAAGCAGAGTATAGCACCTGCCCATACCATGAGGAAGAAAGAGAGCTTGACGTGCTTAGAAACTAGAAGAACATCAGGGTAGCTGGTACATTGTGAACAAGGGGGAAACTCTCAGGAAATGAAGGTAAAGAGTAGGCAGTCTTGGTACAAAGTTGAACAATGTTCACAGAAAACTTTAGAGTTTATCCGGTCTCCTTGTCCATCATCAGATGAACAAGCAAGACATTCTCTAGGAATAGGAACCAATATTTAACCAGGGGAACAAGATCTATCAGGGTGAATATTAATTAAATTTAGAGCCCTCATTCCATAACTATGGTCTGCCAAAGCCATCCTGAGCATCTGTGGCAGCATAATGTAGGGGAAAAAATCAATTAAGAGTCATTTCAACAAATACTAACCAACAGAAATAGAGGTTGGAGTTGAATAAAACAGAATTCCTGGCTTCAAAGAGTGCACAGTTTTGTGTAGGAGAGAGAGACAATAAACTGTTTCAAAATGAGATGATGGTTGTGAAACAGAGATGAACAAAATCTACGGAAATAGGCAGAAAGTCCTGTCAGTGGGTCTGCAAGGTTTTCTTATTTACCACCTGAGCTGTGTCCTGAAGACTTACGTGAGTTCATTGAACAGAATGAAATTCTGAACACAGTTTGTACTCTGAAAGAGCAGGAGAAAGTGTCTGCCCCTAGCAGCCTGCCTTGGCTGGACTGCCACTGGGTAAGGGGCTGGAGAACATCGGGCTAGCAAAATAAACAGGAGGGAGAACACAGAGGCTTTTGTTTTATGTTTAGAAATTTTCTTGTGGGCAATGGAGAGCCTGCAGTGCACCAGACAAGGAATTAGAAAACCTAGACTTTGATGCTGATTGCACCAATTAATAATCAAGACATCCTGAGCAGCAATAATAATAATTATTATTATAATATTTGATACTTATAAAATCATTCATATGCATCAGGAACTGTGCTACAATATTTATATGCATCCTCTCATTTCTTCCCCCAAACAATCTTAGTTGATGTGGCAGGTATTGTAATAAAGACACTGATGCTCAGGGAGTAAGGAGATTTTCCAAGGTCACACAGTCATTTGATTCCTCATTCTTATGATGTGGTTTATATTGTCTGATCAGCCATTTTCACAGCCTGGTTGTATAGATCAAATAAAATGACATACTGACTATTCAGACCAGTAAAATCTGAAATAAGTGTTTAGTGGAAGTTATTAGGAAATGGGATGGAAGATTTAGGGTGGGAACAACAAGGATTCGATCTTGGGGGGTGGGGGGCACTAATAATTTGGACCCAAATAAGTACAGTCGTACAATGTTTTCATTGTAAAGACAATGGCACTTAAGTACCTAATATGATTGGAACAACTGTCTTCAATGATTTGTTTTGACATCATGTGGAAATCAAAGACCTTAATGTGTTTGACTATCTTACATGCACACTATGGACAATCACAGAACACCTGATGATAATAAAGACTATGAATTAATATGGCACAACACAAAATGAAAGGGCGATTATTTCTCATGACAATTTTTGTTGTAGTGTTCTTTATAAAATACTCCAAACTTCAAGGTAGCAAAAACAGTTATTTGTGTGAAAGCAGGTATTCCATTTCCTCTGACACATGCAGTAAAACAACAAAGGAATTTCCACTTTCTACTTTTCTTTGGGAGGGAAAAAAAAAGCATGTCCAGCTCTTTTAAACATAAATCCTGAAAAGACAAGGTTTTAAAATATATTTATAGAAAGCAAAACTATAGCAGGGTCCTGGTTACTCATATGGACTCCTTGGCATTCACAGATGATCCTATGTGCTCATGGGTAATCAGTACATACATAAGTTTGCATGCAATGGAGGTGTTCTTGAACACACAGAGAGTATGCCTGGGGTTGCAGTTTCTCTCTGATAAGATACCAAATAGCTGAAGATATTATACATCCTCTACAATCTTGGGGAAATATTAACTCTGTACTTTGTTCTGTATGTGCCTATGAATAACAAATGAGCCACATGCTAAAGAAGTTAATCTAGGAAAAGCACTTTAACCGTAAAAGAACTCAGCGATGCAAGCAAAGGATGGAAGAAACCAGCAGCTTCCATCTGCTGTTGGGACAACTGATAAAATGTCTCAAATGTTTTAAGATTGGCAACTGCTAAGATGTATGTTGCCAAGCATTTTTCTTCATAACCTGTAACCTCATGTATATTTTAATAAGAAATCTGAGATGCATGTTTCTAATTCATTTACACTTAACTCATTAAAATTTAGTTTTGTACTAACTATCCCGGGCTACCCAGGCCTTTAAAAGTCATTCCAGTCCTTTATTTTTGAAGCAGAAAACTCACATTTTATCACCAATAAATAAAACTTTGCCCAGAAAGTAGGAATT